GATTAATTCTCCAAGTAGGAGAGACTTGCATTCCTAACCTAAAAGCATAAATAGAAGCACCGGCTGAGATTTTCAGTGCTGTGAACAGGAATCTGTAATCTGTGATAGATAAATTCCTATTTTTTCCCACCGCAGAAAAACCCCGTTTTTTTCTGGAAATAATAGGGGAAATGAATTTAATGTCGGCCTAAATGTCCCTGATTTGGGCCCATACATAAATTCAGAAATCGAATAAATTTTCAATAGCGACCAAAAATATCCCAATGACGCGTTCATCTAGATAAAATTGATTTTTAATGATGGGCCCTACATATCCGTGGGACGAAACGCATGAAATAATAAAAACAAGCAATATTTAAAGAAATATTTTGCGTTGCCGCAGAGTTTTTGAAATGACGCCGCAGTTTGAAGTGACGCCTCATTTTGACGCGCTGCCTAATTTTGACGCACCACCTCGATTTGGCGCACCGCTTCGTTTTGACGCGCCGCCTCGATTTGACGCGCCGCCTCATTTTGAAGTGCTGCCTCGAATTGACGCGTCGCCTCATTTTGAAGCGCTGCCTTATTTTGACGCGCCGCCTCAATTTGACGCGCCGCTTCATTTTGACGCGCCGCTTCATTTTGCAGCACCGCCTCATTTTGACACGCCGCCTCGATTTGAAGCACTGCCTCATTTTGCAGCGCCGCCTTATTTTGACGCGCCGCTTTGATTTGACGCGCCGCCTCGATTTGAAGCGCCGCCTCATTTTGACGCGCCGCTTCGATTTGACGCGCCGCTTCATTTTGAAGCGCCGCCTCATTTTGAAGCGCCGCCTCATTTTGAAGCGCCGCCTCATTTTGAAGCGCCGCTTCGATTTGAAGCGCCGCCTCATTTTGAAGCGCCGCCTCATTTTGAAGCGCCGCCTCGATCTGACGCGCCGCTTTGATTTGACGCGCCGCCTCGATTTGAAGCGCCGCCTCGATTTGAAGCGCCGCTTTGATTTGAAGCGCCACCTCGATTTGAAGCGCCGCCTCGATTTGAAGCGCCGCCTCATTTTGAAGCGCCGCCTCGATTTGAAGCGCCGCCTCATTTTGACGCGCCGCTTCATTTTGACGCGCCGCTTCATTTTGAAGCGCCGCCTCGATTTGAAGCGCCGCCTCGATTTGAAGCGCCGCCTCGATTTGAAGCGCCGCCTCATTTTGAAGCGCCGCTTTGATTTGACGCGCCCCCTCGATTTGAAGCGCCGCCTCATTTTGAAGCGCCGCCTCATTTTGAAGCGCCGCCTCATTTTGAAGCGCCGCCTCATTTTGAAGCGCCGCAAGCGCCGCCTCATTTTGACGCGCCGCTTCATTTTGACGCGCCGCTTCATTTTGAAGCGCCGCCTCGATTTGAAGCGCCGCCTCGATTTGAAGCGCCGCCTCATTTTGACGCGACGCCGCAGTGTTTTTGAAGCATCATCGCAGCTTCATCGCAGCGTCGCCAGGGCGGTTGTCTGGTCCGCCGGGAAGGGCGCCGGTGGGGGTGCCGGTTTTGTCGTTTGCGGGGCCCGTTGGCTGGGGCGTTGTGGGGGCGTTGGCGAGGGCGTCTCAGAATTTATTTGCTTCGCTGCTGTTACCCGCGGTTGGCCGGCGAGATAGCCGAGGTTGGTTGATTTCGTTTAAACTTTAATGAACTTCATAATGAATACATGATTTTCTTTGATTTGCTAAGAATATAATAGTCGGCCCTTATTACCGGTGTCATTTCTCGGTGAAGTGATAACTTATCACTCACGGTGTAGTGATTCCCATTAATGAAGGAAATAAAAAGGCATGACACGCTAAAAACCGTTTACCCAAATCCTATATTGTTAAAATAAACATGCTTTTGAATTTAATTCAAACATAAATATTTTAGTTTTAAACATGCTTTCAATTTACTTTGAATAATTCATATGTTCAGAGTATAAACATTTATATTTTTGTTTTAAATGAACAAAATTCGTATCCGTGTATGTGTGGACACATGAAAGTCACGTGGAATTTTACATGGAAATTCACCAATAAAAATGTGTCGAATTTTATCAGTGGCCTGGCCGTTCACGGTAACCAGCGTAAACACATTAATGTGTAAAATTTCACACATTTTGTGAAAAAAGGGGTCTACTCATAAAATGTGTAAACTGCGTTTGCACATTTATGTGTAAACCCATCAAACGTCAATAGATGTGTATTTTTTACACATTTTTCAAGAATGGTTTTTACTGCAAAATGTGTAAAAAGTAATCATTCAAAGAAATTAAATATGATAAGGACGCATGGTTTTTTTTTTTATTAATATCGGAGATTTCTTATTTGTGCCAATGATAAAAAAAAAAGATTGATCGGATTCAATAATATTATATTAAAAAAATCACAGCCAGACACCGGACAATGAAAACCTTAATAAAGATTATTTTTCTAGGGCTTAGCTATGAAAATAAAATAAATCACTTACCCTCTAGCTTGGCCACCGTTGCTCTGTTACAGTTTGGACTGTAGTTTCCCAAAAAAAATTATTAAAATTGCTGAAAGTTTTTCGCTTAGGCAAATGGCGTCCATCAACGAAGCAGAAGTTTTTTTTACCCATTAATGATTATAAAAATAAACATTTTTTGACTGGTACTACATTCTTAAAATGTGTATTTTTTACACATTTCAGTGCCAACATTTCAAAGGGGCGTAATTGCATTTGTAAACAATGGCTTTAGTCGTCGATTTCTCGCAAATGAAAGCTCACTCATGAAAATGAATGCCACCAGCATGCAGAGGCTGGCTCATTTGCTGTAGCTTTGCGGAGCCGATATTCATTGTTTAGATAACAAAATTACTTAAAACTAACGTTAGTAAAGCGGGGGCCGATTACTCGCGGCTATCTCGAGGTTAGGGGTAACAAATTGTAACAAAAGGAAGGCAGGGTAGGGATTGTGAACACAAGATTTGGAGAGCAATGTGCTCTTGATCTCGAACTAGGCGACACTCTGATGAAAAAGACAAACATGGGGGTACACCGATGGGTAGCTAACAACTTGGGAGAACACAAGATGACACTAACTTCTAACTCCTCAAACCTATCCGTTTTAAAAACACATAAATTAAATTCAAATAGTCGAGGTCTCGGCTCGCCAAGACATCTCTAACGGGTATCGCGGGTTGTTTTCCTCGGGCCCTGAGGGATGTGGATAACTCAGATCTGGCAACACGGTGTAAGGTACACGACCAAACAACATGCTCAATATCGTGATAACCACTGCCACACGCACATAAATTGCTGTCTGAGAGCCCAATTCGATAGAAGTGCGAATCTAATGAGCAGTGATTGGACATAAGCCTTGATATAACGCGTATAAAGTCGCGGCTCATGTCCAACCCTTTGAACCATGCTTTGTTCGACACCTGTGGGAGAATAGAATGTAACCATCTTCCCAATTCACCATCATTCCATTTTTGTTGCCAACTGATGAGGACTTGCTGGCGAGCAATGGAGAAACATTCGTTGAAGGCGATTTGTCGCTCAAAAATATCGCCTTCCATAGTGCCCACCTTAGCCAATGAGTCCGCTTTCTCATTACCCGGAATTGAGCAATGAGATGGGACCCAAGCTAAGGTGATAGTATAGGAGCAGTTAGATAAAGCACTCAGTTTAGATCGTATTTCAGGCAGGAAATACGAGGAGTGCTTCATCGGCCTCATTGAACGAATAGCCTCCAATGAGCTAAGACTATCCGTAAAAATGAAGTCAGAAGGTAGTGAGGCAATTCGCTCTACTGCGTAAAATATAGCTGCGAGTTCCGCAACGTATACGGAGCATGGTTTCTGCAGTTTATAGGAGGCGCTATGAAATTGATTAAATACACCAAATCCAGTGGAAGCATTTATCTGTGAAAAATCTTTTATCGTTACTTACATGGTGGTACTTGATTGCAAAAATTGCGGGAACAACCATCGACCGATGGTGATCTGGTATTCCATGGATTTCTCGCATCATGGGCAGATCAAAATTTACAGAGGAACTATAGAAGGCTTGAAAGCAATCACGATTGGAGATTAATGAAGAAGGACCAACCTCCAGCGTCATGTACTCATAGTACAAACTCATGAATCTTGTTTGAGGATTTTGGTCGAGCAGCTTCCCAAAGTGTTCTATTACCAAAGGATTCAATACTTCACAACGGATGAGAAACCGGAAAGACAGCTCAGCGAAACGATCTGTCAGTGGGAGAACACCCGCGAGTACTTCGAGGCTCATCGTATGCGTCGAGTGCATACAGCCAAGCGCGATTCGGAGGCAACGGTATTGAATCCGTTGCAGCTTAAGAATGTGTGTTTTTGCTGCGGATTGGAAGCAAAAGCTGCCGTACTCTAAAACCGAAAGGATGGTTGTTCGGTACAACCTGATCAGATCTTCCGGGTGTGCTCCCCACCAAGTTCCGGTAATTGTACGAAGAAAATTGATTCTTTGTTGGCATTTTTGTTTCAGATACGCAATATGTTTTCCCCATGTGCATTTGGAATCGAACCAGACACCTAAATACTTGAATTACGCCCCTTTGAAATGTTGGCACTGATTTTAAGATCTCCAAATTTACATTAACATAAAATATGTGTATTTTTTACTCATTAATGTGTTTACGCTGGTTACCGTGGGGGACTTTTGTTTTACTTTGTAGAAATCTTTTTTTTCTGTGTGTTCGTGAATTGGTTTACGACTATGGGAGCACTGCTTGAATAAAATTGTATAACAGTTTCCTGAATGCACTTCTGTTGACGTGCTATTTTGTTTTTGGTTTTACGTGAGAAAGTAAAAGAGAGGAGGTTTTTTCTTTTTTCCAAAAGACGCTTCAATGAGAAATATCGTTGGAGTAAAGAGTGTTTCCCGGCTCAGAGATAGTCGTCCTCGTCAGCGCTGTTTCAAAACATTGCATCAGAGTTTCTAGATCTTACATACCCCCCACTCACCCTTCAACCCAATAGATCGTCAGCACCAACTTCATTCAGTCCAGCAGTATTTTTTCAGAAGTGAAACGATAAACTTGCAGTCTTGTTATTGAATTTCATAAGCATCAAAACAGACCTAACTGACGAAAAACGTTGATAATTATTGTAATTTCTATTGTTCAACACAATCGCTGAGCTAAACAAAGTGATAATTTATTGAAAATGGAAGGTCAAGGGAAGAAAAGTGAGTAGAAAAATAATTCATAACTGAGGGCGAATACCTACTCCAAGTCGGAATAAAGATGGCTGAAGTAGATTTTTTTTTTTGCGTTTTTCCCATGTTGGAGACAATGATTCATACTCTTGTTATTGATTTTAAAAATAACAAAATCAACCTAAATTTAATCTGTTGACCAGCACTTTGACGATTGCTGATTATTCCAGAACTTTTTCTTCGAATTGTAAACGCAATAATTTTATTTTTCAATATGTTTTACGACGTGTTCAATCTTGTTTCAATCGAATGCAAGTGTCAGAAGGTGCGAAGAAAATCGCAACTATTGTTAAAATTTCAAGGAGATTTTTATTACGCCTTGACTGCTGGGCAGAACTACCCAACTATAATATAGTCAACTCGATAACATTAATTTCATGGCTACTGTGATAGCGATTTTGTATGGGAATGTGATTCTATAACTCGATGGTCCCTTCAATAACGAGTTGTATTCAAATTACGATTGATGATGGCTTTTATCAGATAAAATTTTCGTATAAACACTTTCATGGTGCTAAGCACCAACCGATATCCTCGGATTAAATCCCGATCAAGAATGTTCGCCTGCTTTAATAGCGACAACAGAATTATTCAACACGACTCTAAGCAAATATTTCGCAGATCATACAAACAGGGTCGGTATTAAAAGTTAAGTCGACTTGGAGCTTACCACCATCAATATTGTTTTTTTTTTCACTTAGCTGTTATATTTTGGAGTTTGTTCGTTTTAACTGTATAAGATTAAAGTGACTAAAATTACATTTATTGTTCTTTTCAGAAGGAAAAGGTGGTGGCCAACAGCAGCAGCAGCAGGGTGGAGGAGGGAAAAAACAACAACACCCAGCAGGTGGAGATGGACAGCAACCGCAGGGCCAAGGCAAAGGAGCAGGGAAGTGAGTAACATGAAATTATGCTAATTCTTGTTTTTTTTTTTCCAAAATTCTACATCTAAAATATTTTTTTCAATCCCATAAAAAAAATGAGTACGGTCCCAGCGTTGTCTATCTATGCATATCTAATCCATATCTCTAACACCAAAGTTCACGAGTTCAAATCTCATCCACGGACAAGTCACGAATGGCCCAAGAGTGTTAAAGTGACTAACAAAGAATGAAAGTTAAAAAACATCATTTTTTTCTAAATATAAGATCTTAAAGATTTTTTATAAATCACAGATCTAAAAAACATGGTCTAATGCTCTTTACAAATGACGGAAGACGCAAAATCTTGTAATTTTCCGTTAATTTTTAATTTCGCTAGATTTCTAAAACAATAAATTGGAGAATTCAAGCTCTCGCTCTTAACAACTCGTCCTATATAGAGACCATCAAAATACTCCATGACCTAGTTGCTCAAATCCAAGATATTATAAATTATGAAGTGTATAGTTTATTTGTCTCAGACTTTTATTTTAAGCTTGTGTACATAATTCTGCCATTTCAAATAGTTATCTGATATAACTCTTAATCTTATATAAAGATTATCTGCATATAACTATTAATCTTAATTATTATCTTCGAATTTCTAATAATTCTGCCACAATCACTTTGGAATTTCCCTCATAATCCTCAGCGTTTTTCATGTATTCTCCCTGAACATCAATGGAAATGTTCCTTGAATTACTTAACATTCAATTTCTGCTCAGGAATTCTCAATTGAATACAACTGAAATTCCCCTACGCATTGGTGACGTCATAATTCTTTAACGGTTTACGGTTTTAGGTTTTAAGACTAACCCTGGACATCCCCTACTTTAGCTTAAGTGTCATTTGAATTGAAACATCTTTGGGCTTACCCTAAAGGACCACTGAACAAGCCTGAAAAGGCCTCTAGGCTCACTCTAAATGACTTGTCGTGGAATTTTGACCCATCATCTGAATTTACTCTTCAAATTCAATTCTCGTTCAAATTTCCCTTAGCACTTAGCATTTATTCTGAAAGTTCCCTGTCCATATCCTCGAAATTCTCTTGCTACTTATACCTTTATGAAGTATGAATTATGATGCACTTTTACTATGTGCAATAATTAGTCCGAAAATGCCATACAGCTACAACAGTAACCAATTTAATAATTTATTAACGAAAACAAATGCCAATGAAGAGATTCTATCAATGAAACTTCGACCTTTTAGCACTATTCGGTTTGAGATGTTTTAAATAACGTTTATGTTGTATATTGTTTCAAATTGAAACAGAAAACAAAACCAGCAACAACAGCAGCAGAAGCAACCATCTTCGGAATCAACTGGACAGCAGGTGCCATCCAATCAGCCACAAAAACCCCAGCAGCAGCAGCAGCAAGCTGAACAAGGAAAACTTACCTATAAGTAAGCATACCTTCGTTTATATCTGTATTTCCATTATAACTTCTAGCGTTCAGAATCAAAGGGCCTAACTAAGATGATCGATTCTCTCTTTTCGCATTACTACAGTTAGTGAACCAATTTTCCGAAACTGTTCCAGTACAGTGTGGTAAAAGGATGTATTAGCTCGCAAAAGCAACATCAAACGCATCGAAAAATGGTAAATCTACTGAGTTATTAACAAAAGAGAGAATCGATGAAGAGAATCGATCATCCCAGTTAGGCCCAGTGGCGATGCGTGACTATTTCAGATACCTGTTCAACATATTTATTAAAACAACATTGTTAGTACATTATCGGTTTTGTTCACTACAATTTAGCCTATTTATACAACAGTGGAATTCTCATATTAATTTTAATTGAAAAATCAGCGATAATATTATTGTCGTAAGATAACACTAGTTTACAAAACAACATAAAAAGTGTGAACTTTAGTGGTTGACCAACGTTTCTAATGCAAAATCCTACGCTGAATTCAATGCCGTGGTCAGAAAAAATTAAAGTAGAGCCATTTTTGAGGTATACAAAAATTTGCTATCGTTCATTAGAATATTATGTCTTAATTAAAAATTTAATTTTAAAGTCATTTAAAAATTTACAGCATTTTTTTTTATTTGTTCTGCGAATTTTCCATACAAATCTTGTTTTAATCAACATTTTTAATGGGATAAAAAGATTCAAAAAATCATTCCATAATTTATTCTTAAATTCCATTAAAAACTGGAGAAAATGAGCCTTTAATGGATGAAATCGGTTGGAAATTGTCGAAGTTATGAAATTTTTTGTAAAATCATGGAAATTGAATGTTCCAAGATTGGCCGTTGTCCCGCTCCTAGGTTCATGCACCACTTCCAGTAAGCCTTTCTGCGGACGTGTACGCATACGGTGCATTTCACTAACACTACCAGCTGTCACGCAAAATTAAATGGGATATTTTCAACAATATCATTTACGCTAGTGTTTGTGAGACCGCTCGGCGAGAACCTAACGCAACCAACTCAATTTGACAGCTTTCTTTCTTTAACATTGCTTAACGATGTATACGACAAAACGTGAATTCAAGTGTAAAAATGATCCTCAAAAGTTTTGTTACGCGTGTGGCAACTATATATTTACAAAATCGGTCAATTTCACTGCTTCGTTGCAAATGCGAGGAAGACTTCGAGGTGGAATTGGAAAGAAACCCAAAACTGTTTACACAATCCGAATTTAATGATTTGGTGCGAGATCTCGACTTATCGAAGGAGAAATCCGAGAATCTCCCATGAAAACTTTACATGCGATTTGGATGCTTACAACGACACCTAGAAAAGGAACTCTAAAGCTGTTGTATTTCAGCAACATTTTTAAGTGTTTTACAAAAATGCTCATAACTTCGACAATTTCCAACCGATTTCATTCATTAAAGGCTCATTTTCTCCGGTTTTTAATGGAATTTAAGAATGAATTATGGAATGATTTTTTGAATCTTTTTATCCTATTAAAAATGTTGATTAAAACAAGATTTTTATGGAAAATTCGCAGGAAAAATAAAAAAAAAATGCTGTAAATTTTTAAATGACCTAAAAATTAAATTTTTAATTAAGACATAATATTCAAGTGAACGATAGCAAATTTATTTAGCTTCATTTTCATAAAAAAAGGATTTAAAATTTCTGCTCTAGTTCCAAAGATATTGACATTTTAGTAATCGTACTTTTGTCCAAAATTCAAAAAATCATTTTTTTTTGTAAAGGGTGATACGGTCAAAATTTGGTCAAGGGAAAACGTGTGTAAATCGGTGAAATCGTTTATTTAAAAAATCAAATTAAATTTCTTTTTCAAGTTCAATTAGTATAAAATTCAGGAAAAATATTCAGTTAGGCTTCCGCTTTCCCAAAGCCGAATTGCCGGGCCTTACGCTTGACCCCTGTCATCAGATTTTGTACAGCCACCTTGTCCACCTTCTTCGCCGCAGAAAGCCAGTTTGCCTTGAACTGCTGCTCGCCCTTAGCAGTTTTTTTGGTCTTCTTTAGGATCCGCTTGACAATAGCCCAGTATTTCTCAATTGGGCGAGGCTCTGGCGTGTTGGGAGGGTTCTTGTCCTTGGGAACCACCTGCACGTTGTTGGCGGCGTACCACTCCATGGCCTTTTTACCGTAATGGCAAGATGCCAAATCCGGCCAAAACAGTACGGAACAACCGTGTTTCTTCAGGAAAGGCAGCAGACGTTTATTCAAACACTCTTTCACGTAAATTTCTTGGTTGACAGTCCCGGAAGCTATGAAAATGCTGCTTTTCAAGCCACAGGTACAGATGGCTTGCCAAACCAGATATTTCTTTGCGAACTTTGACAGTTTCATGTGCTTGAAAACATCTGCTACCTTTCCCCTTCCTTTTGCCGTATAAAACTCCTGTCCCGGAAGCTGCTTGTAGTCGGCTTTGACGTAGGTTTCGTCGTCCATTACCACGCAGTCAAACTTCGTCAGCATCGTCGTGTACAGCCTCCGGGATCGCGCTTTGGCCGTCGTATTTTGTTTATCATCGCGATTTGGAGTCACTACCTTCTTGTAAGTCGATAGTCCGGCTCGTTTTTTGGCTCGATGCACGGTTGTAGACGATACACCCAGCTTATTTGCGGCATCTCGGAGAGAGAGGTTAGGGTTTCGCTTGAAACTACCGGCAACTCTCTTTGTCGTCTCAGCGGCTTCCGGTTTTCGATTTCCCCCCGATCCAGACTTCCTGGCTGTCGACAAACGTTCCCCAAACACTTTAATTACATTTGTAACGGTTGATTTGGCAACTTTTAGCGATTTTGCCAACTTTGCGTGCGAGTAGCTCGGATTTTCGCGATGCGCGAGCAAAATTTTGATACGCTGCTCTTCTTGCTTGGACGGCATTTTGACAACTGAAGAGTGAATTCCAAAATCAAAATAGGAGCAACATTCTACACACACACACCTTCAAAATGAGTGGTGTTCAGGTTTTTTAAATGCAAAATTGAAAGAAATACGTCAAGTTGATATTGACCAAATTTTGACCGTATCACCCTTTATATCTCAAAAATGGCTCTACTTTAATTTTTTTCTGACCACGGCATTGAATTCAGCGTAGGATTTTGCATTGGAAATGATCATCACCTTACCGAGTTCAAAAATGCTGTAAACTAGTGTAATGGACGTTTCATGTTTTCATTCAGCAACTCTCGCTCTACAGCTATCATCATCAAACCAAACAGACGCTTTTCACCCATTGTCGTTCTCAAATAATTCTAGATATAGCTGGAATTAGGATGTAACAGCTTTTGTAAACAATGGCTTCTATCGATGATTGCTATAAATTCAAGGCTCGCCAATGTAAATCAACATAACCATCTGGTAGGGGACAGACTTCCCCTACCCAACGGTTATGTTGGTTTGCGTGGGCGTGTTTTGAATTCCTAGAAATCATCGAGAGAAGACATTGTTTACAAAAGCTGTTACGTCCTAATTCCAGCTCTATCTAGATTTTTCACACGCCGTAGATCTGAAAATCCCAAGTAACCATCAAGCCCGCTAATGTAAATGTATGTAATATAAAGCCTTATAGCAGCCTTATATTGCAACGGGCTTGGTGGTTACTTGAAATGACCGCTCGACAGATGCTGTTGTGCTTGACGAAGTCAGTATCAATTTGGAAAGCCCTATAGAGTTTCCGAAAAGGTTTGGATGAGGTTTTGCCAAATATTATAAATTAACAATATGGCCCACTTCCCTTTCTCCAGGTTAGAAAGGGGACTAAAACCATTCGTGGCATTATTATTTAAGCGTGTGATCAAATTATTGATTTCGTAAAATAAGAGGTGTGGCAGACCGAATTAGCTTTTTCTTGCATATTGATCATGTAAGCCAGTGTTATGACGTCACGGCATCAGCTTCAAGGAACTGAATCAGTTGCATAAAATAAAAGGCAGATTGTCACCCCTATACTGTGTTTCGTTTCGAACGAAATTCTCATACAAAAAAATATTTTTTTGTATGAGAATTTCGTTCGAAACGAAATACAGAATAGGGGTGTGTATCTGCCACGCCTCTTTGCCTACCCTAATAAACAAATAACATAAACGAACTGTATCCCGGATGGGTAAACTATCCCACAAATGGTTTGGATGATACCTCGAACACGTCGTAAGCTCTCTTTTATGGTTATTTTTATTAGGGTACCCGATCGCAACTGACCTGATGCAAACAGGGGTGGGTGGGGGTGATCTTGGATCGAAACACAAAAGATCGATTCTTTTGGTTCGATTAATCGATTGTCAAACACGACAAAAATCGACTGGATCGATCCTTTTCATTCGATTTTTGTTTGGATCAAAAAAAAATCAATTCATTTGCATTTGCAATTTAATATTGATTTTTTTGTCTAAGATTTTATTTTTTAGCCATCGAATAAAAACAAAATCTGAAGATTTGGCATCACGGCGTAATATTTGACAGTTCTTGTGCCGGGAAGCGTGCGCATCGCACCATTGTGTTTTGTTTGCGTCATTTGAAAAGTGAAAAATGTCGGGAAGCAGATTTCGCCCGATGTTAGAAATTTGGTGATTCGCGATCGTGAAAAAGGAATTTCTTTTCGGAAAATTGCCGAAAAGTACTCGATCTCAGTTGGAGCTGTTCAGCACATATGGAAAAAGTACGAAACACGAGGAATTGTGAGGAATTTATCCGGACAAGGACGTCATCGTGCGACAAGTAATCGTGATGACATCAGAATTGTTCGAATGGCTAAGCAGAATCTGAAATATTCGTCGAGGCATATTGTGGAGTCGATGGATCTCAATGTAAGTCCACGTACTGTTGGCCGGCGGCTTAATGAGAGCGGTTTGAAAAGCTGTTTGGCATCGAAGCGTCCTTTTATCAACAAGCGGAACCAACGGAAGCGACTGGAATTTGCTAAAAAGTACGCCGGAATGACTGTGGACTTCTGGAAACGAGTTCTGTGGA